AAAAAAAAAAAAAAAAAAAAAAAGAATATGTTAAAAGTCATCTTTACCTACTTATTGAAATATTCAACTTAACTATTTTCTCATTGTAACTGGTTTGGAACTAACACAGAATTTTAAAAATTGAGCTGAAAGGGTAACTTATATCTTTAATTTTAATTGATTTATATACAGATTGACTGTACTTGATATTTTTATCTGCAGAAATAATCTTTAACTTTCTTCTAAAAGGGTAATTGAAATAAGCAAAGCCACTGATCAAATTAAAAAATTTATTTACAAACTTTGTTTTCCTTTTAAAAAAACAATTAGTCAATTCATGAAGATAAACCAAAACACAAACTCTATCAAAGTTGTTGCAATAAACTTTCATAGAATCAATAGCCTTAAAAAAAAGTTAATGAATATTTTAATGTAAAAACACAATGTAAAAATAGGGACTTTAGTTTTGGTGACTAAATACAAGCAGATAAATAATCTTCTTCAAAGGGAAAAACAATCTGGGAACCCAATCTGACATGCATGGCAGGAAACTTAGCGCATTGGTGAGTTAGTTTCTCAGGGCCAGCAGGGCGTTCACATCCCAGATCAGGTTCCGTAGCTGATCTACGATTTGCTTCAGCTGCTGATTCTTCTGTTTGAGTTTCTGTAGAAACAAAAGAATTTACCAAAAATGTTTCAGGAAATAGGGACCATGATGTTAGAAAACTAAGGTGTCATGAGTTAGGACCCTCATGATCCAGATGGAAATTAAGCTAAACACTCCCGTAGGCAGATGGTCTCAACTCTTTTCTGGCCTTCAATGCTCACTGACAGGCACCCTGAGTTCTAGTTCAGCCAGTAGAGGCCTATGGCACCAGTCTCCACCGCCCTCTACTCCTCCACTTCCACTATCAGAGAAAACCAGCTATATGTTTTAATTGTTGAAGAACCCAAATGCCCAGGATTCCTGAGGGGAGTGTAACCCTAACAGTCAAGGGCACACACTTTGAACAAGTTCCTGAAGTGCTCGGAGACACAGCTCTTCCATTAACTAAACACACAACACTGACCAAATGATTCAATCTCCCTCAGTTTCCACGTCAGTTTCCTCGTCAGTGCCTCAGTTTCCATGTCAGAAAAATTGAGATAATAACTGAATCTACCTCAAGAGTTGTTGACGATTAAATGATCTGATTCCCATCAAGGGTCAGAACTATGCCCAACACATAAGTAACCATTTAACAAATGTCACTGGTAGGCACAGAACATAAACCGTCAATAGAGAAAATGAAGTATAATAAAAACACAATGTCCAGTTCAACTGGTCTTTCGAAAACATGGCGGAAGTCACTGCCTGAAGCATGAAGTGCAGGTTTGTAACTCTCAATACTGAAGACAGAATGGCACAGCACCAAGTCAGCCTCCCTCAACACCGAGATGTGCTGAGTGCCTGGATGTGCATGGGTGAGTCTCTGCACCTCTACACCTGGCTCCTACTAGACAGTGATTACAGACTTCTTCTTAAGCATCCTTTCTTCAAATCCTAAGTGGTAAATGTCTGCTTAGATAAAGCAAGAAAAAGAGTGAATTTCTACTCAGTGTGTTTACTAGATATAAAAATAAATAATAACCACTACTCAATAACCTTTTAGAAAGATAACATTTGGAAATAATTAGATAATTTTAAAGATATTATACCAAAATACTTCCAGATAAATTAGTATATGTTCATTAGAAAGAGGCCTAAAAGTCTTAATTCTGATTTTATTGAAAAGCAAACTAAGGTTAAGTTGCTTGTACACAGAGTTAGAGAGGTAACAGGGAGGGGCTAAAAGGGAAGACCAAGAAACGCTTATTGGTAACAGAAAATCAATTAACAGAGACATTAATGATCTTTAACAATATTCATGAAATTCACATTTGAAAAGAGAGTTACAGTCAGGTAACACACATAATACACATAACCACACAGGACCCAAGGCTTGATACCAAAGCTCATTTTAGCAGTCTTTGGGAAATAGCTACTTAGTCTCCCTGCTCAGTTTTCAGATGATCCATCTTCTTGGTTGTGTCATCATGAGTATGAGGTAGTCAGTTATTTAAGCAGCTGTGTACATCAAACCACAAAATCAACCAGATTCCTGGGAGACATAAGAATGACTAAGCCCACAGTCTTTTTACTGTAAAGAAACTGACCCTTCTTCCAGCAATCAAACATGCAAGCAAAACAGAAACAGGAAAGCTGCTGTATTGGGAGGCAGCAGCCTCAGTGCCATTTCTAACCTTGCCTCTAACTTGCGATTTGAATTTGTTTAAATTCATTCCCCTCAGTTTTCTCATTATGTGGGATTACATAATCTAAGACCCCTACCAGTTGTACTTTGTGCATACCCACATATCAGTTGACAGTCATCACACAAACACGTGATGAAAAACCAGTAAATATGGTTTAGTGAGGCTGGCTTCAAAATGGCCCAAAGCCAGCAGCTCTTTACTACTGCTAAAGTCTAAGACTCAATACGTCAGCTACCACAAAGTCCCTCTCAATTCTAATTTTTCATGAGGGTGGAGAAGAGCTACTGAGTAAGAATAAAATGAAGAAAAAGAAGGTCAGTTAATTTAAAAAAACAAACCTAATTTGAATTAGTAAGTTCTGATGTATCTCAAATATAACTTTCAAAAGTTTCAGAACTTCAGTATCAAGGAGAAAGATGACTAGATGAAGCCCCGGTAAGGCAGATGGCAGAGGAAAACATCAGATCGACAGGCCTCTGACTGCAAAGATCAGCACACAGGGAAGACGCATTATTTGGAGTTTGAAAAGTTGGTCGTGAGTCACAAGAGGAAGGAGAATAATTTGGGGTTGCTGGTGGGGAATGGAGACTCACTGATATTCTTGATTTCAGGAAGAAATAGTATTAAAATGCAGTAAAAAAGGTTAACTGGGCAGCGTGTGGAATGGATTCCCCAAAATACATTCAATAGTGGCAAACCCATATCCATGAGCAGAAGTAACAGGAGGGATTTACTTTTACGAGACAGTGGAGAACCATTCAAAGGCCAAGCCTGGCAAATATGCTCAGTGATCACATTTTCAGCAGAAATTCAAATAATCACTTAGAATCAACACAATTGTATTCTTGGGGGGGGGGGGGGGGCGTTAAACACAGTATCAACACAGGGCTTACAGATGTTTCCCAATATGGTTTCACACTGAAATAAGCACATAGCCTACCAATAAGAGTATTTCCAAAGAATACTTATTTGAAAATATAAATTTTAATATTCTCAAAAAAGCCACATTAATTCTTAAAAAATTAAAGAGCTGAAAACTACAGAATATTTTTAAAGATAATATTCAACTTTAGGCAATAGTAAAAATTTTAAAAAATGTATTATAAGGCTCTTCCATAGTTTTTCTCAAAGACACCACAAAGTTTTAAATAAAAAAAATTAGCATACAAGTAGAATATCTAGAGTCAAAACAAAACTATCAACAGCAAGACTGACAGTTATGCTTATTAGTACTTAAATTGTAAATAAATTTTCATGACATGATATAGGATTTAATATATACAATCTTGCCACTGATTGATTTTAACAGAGGTTGACAGCTGCTATTTTCAAAATCCATCAGCTGTGCCTAATTTGCTACATTAACAGGTGAATGTGTAAGTAGAGTAGATATTTTTAAAATGTTTATGCTAAGTCATCCCATGTAATTTAATATTCATATAAAACCTGTGACACTTGATCAGAAATGCTTTAATTCGTCAATACATGGACTCAATTATATGTCAACCCTATTGTAAATACTGCCCACTTATCTTTTCAATTTCATTTTGCCCAAGAAAATAGCTGTAAAGCAAAATAAAACTCATTTTGGTGTCACCAAAAAATATAGTCTCAAACAAATATTCATTATTTACTTGGGTATCTGTTTAAGGATTCCAGAATATATGAAGAGAAAATGGAATGTACTTAAATAAACCAAAAAACCTGACTATTAAAAACTGGCCATTTTGCTAGTGTGCCTCCAACTTTCATGGCACTATGGTATGAGTTGGCAGAAACCAGACAGACCATAAAGACTAAACAGTAAACACACCATCAGCATGTTGTTCTGTACAATTTCAAGTACACAATGACACAGGAATATTTTTAAAACGATGAAGTGAGGGTTAACTGAGGGATATGTAAGTATACCTATTTTATGTAGCTTATGTAGAATAAAAATGCATTGTAATAAAATTCTGCATGTTTATAATTGAATGTAAGAAATATAAATTTATTAATGATTATATAGATCCATAAAGCAACTTAGTTACTTCATGCAACCACATGCCAAGCCACAAAAGAAATCTTTCCCCCAAAACCTAAAAGAATGGAAAAAACAAACAAGAAAACAAAAATCCCTGTCAATCATTTCAAAATGTGTTCTTCTTTTTGTTTAATAGTGCCTCTTAGTATCCCACCACAAGACATAGCTATTATTAAAAATTGGTCCTTTTTGTACTCAATACCAAAATAGGTAAGACGTTTTCCGAGTTTTACTGTTACTAAGATTCTGCAAACTTAAAACTATCATCTACTAACTGCATGAACTGAAAAAAAGCACCCCATATTTGCATAAGAATGTGCACTGATTAACATAATAAAGGGAAGACAAAAATTTATGAATGCAGATATTTATAAATACTTATCAAATCAAATCAAGGAACTTTTTATTTTTTAATAATATCCATGTGATTAAATAATTAAATTAGGGAATTTTATCCTCTACACAGCTATTTAAAATAAACAGTTTTCACAGAAACACTCTCAGCTGTGTGTGCCATTAAGACAAAGAAAAAAAAAAATCGATGGATCATGAGCTCAATATTTTTAAAAATTTCAATCATATTTTTAATCCTAAATTCTAGGAAAGAGAAACAGCATGTGAAGAAGTTCGAAGAATAAAGGCCATGAAATGAGTACTTTCCCATGGCACTCAAGAGAAGATACTTTCCTTTTGAGTTGGAGTCTCACTCTGTCACCCAGACTGCAGTGCAGTGGCCGCTCCCGGTCACCGCAGCCTCGACCTGCTGGGCTCCGGTGATCCTTCCGCCTCAGCCTTCCCAGTAGCCGGAATTACAGGCATGCGCTACCACGTCCGGCTGATTTTTTGATTTATTGTAGAGATGAGGTCTCGCTGCCCAGGCGGGTCTCGAACCCGCGGGCTCAGGCAATCCACTCACCTCAGCCTCCCAAAGACGCGGGATTACAGGCTGAGCCACCGAGCCCGGCTCTGAATTATCTTTTTAAAACATCTAAATTAATTCTTTCCTCTTTGTAATAACCTTCAGTTTGCTATCATGTTAACTAAAACATATTTTATCCTGAAAAAGCACTTATAATAGATGCAAGTGGTTTAATCAAAGAAAGAGATCTCAAATGTCCAAGGTGTAAATGGGAAAACAAAATCTAAAATACTGACTTTTATTCCATAAACAGACAAACTTTCAGAAACACTATCTATTTGGTGTATTGAAATAAATCTGCCCCAGACAAACACTGTGGACTAAATACATGTGTTTATCTCTTCTTTTTCTCAAAGCCCTAATAAAAATGGCAAGAGAGGAATGAAAAAGCTATAAACCCATATGGAGAGATATGATCAGAAGGAAGACAACAGCAGGTACAAGGTGGTAAGTTTTAAGGTGAAAAGTAAAGAAGAGGTGGTCACTGACTCAGTAGAGAGAAGGAGACAGCCGGGGGATGCCCCTGATAACAGAGCTTACCCACTGTGAAGAACCAGAGGCAGGGGCCATGGCAAAGACACCAGGGGAGGCCTGGAGGAAAATGGAGGGATGGCTGAAAGGGGACCACGTGCCTCATGGACTCTTCGAGAGTGCTCTTCACTCCTGACCAGTGGGCAGTCAAGAGCCTTCTCCTCCTGCCCTGTCCTGCCCCTCAGGGAATAGGAGGTTGGCTGCCTGTGAAACAGAACCACAACTGCTGTGGGGTCAGTAGCACCAGCATAGAAGGCAGAGCTGAAAACGGGGAGTGTGCCCCTGAACTCTGGGCCCCCAGGACACTTCTTCCACCTACCATGCTTCTAGAAAGACAGGAGAGTATCTCCTCCTGTAGGGCACTGGAAGAGTCTTCTCTGAAGAAAAACTGATAGCAAGGGATCCCCCAAAGAAAGAAGTCAACCTGCTTGCCAAAGTCAACTCATAGTGCCTCCAATGAACTCTGGTGCCTTACTCTGAGATAAAAATACTCCCATTTAAGCATCAGATGTTCATCAGATTTGTCAGAGAATTCATTTAGAAAGGCAACAAAACAAAATGGGTGGACAAACTATGGCCCATGACTTGGCTTTTAAGGACCACAAGCTAAGGATGTCCATAAAGCTGAAAATACTATCTGGCCCTTTAAAGAAAAAGTTTCCAAAACTGTATATAGAAGATCATGAAAAAATGCCTTAGATCTCCAAGGAAAAGAATTCACAGTGTGGAAGTTTATAGCCAACAAAGCCATCAACTACACAGATTGTGAGGACTCAACACTCAAGTTCCCGCATTCCTAAAAGAAGCCACTGATACATGAACACACGTTACCAACCAGGGAGAAAACCAATGAGGAAGACATGAGACTGAGGAAACAGTGGACCCTACAGAATGGGGGAGGAAACCGTCAGGGCTAAAGAGCAGGCCCAGGGAATGTCAGATCCAGATCCTGGATAAGGATGTGGGAGAGTAGGCAAGAACCAAGAAATCATTTGGCAACTCTGACCATTGTGGAAAGTTACTGAGAGTCTGCCCTGGGCACATAAAAAACTCACCAAGATTTTAGAAAATGAAAGAGGTCATTATTGCCTCCAGAAAAACAAAAAATTATCTGGCCAAGGCAATGTAACCCTAGTTTACTATGTGGCTTAGCAATCATCAATATTTATGAGGCCATAATTATATAAACACAGAATATTTACTGAACTCAAGTTATAACTGCACTGAAAGGTTTAGGGGAAAAATTATGCAGGTGAGTCAAGGAGAGGCTGTAAAAACTAACTCCTCCTGTAGAGAAGGAAGTCCTTTTATACATTACATCTTTTGTATCCATTATAACCTTCACCTAAAATTCACAAAGCTCCAGCTCAACAGCTGTTAAGATTTTTAAAATGACACACTCTCAAAGTCAAAGTATTATCATACTCTGATTATATAAAAGGTCTTTCCTTTTTCTTTTCTTTTTCTTATTTTTGAGTCTCACTCTGTTGTCTAGGCTGGAGTGCAGTGGCATACTCACGGTCACCCCAGCATCGACCTGCTGAGCTCTGGTGATCCTTCTGCCTCAGCCTTTCAAGTAGCTGGAACTATAGGCATGTGCTACCACATCTGGCTAATTTTTTGATTTATTGTAGAGACGAGCTCTCTCCATGTTGCCCAGGCTGGTCTCAAACCCACGGGCTCAGGCAATCCTTTTGCCTCTGCCTCCCAAAGTGCTGGGATTACAGGCTTGAGCCACCACCTAAAAGGTCTTTTCATTTTTATAAATGACGTTATTTCTAAACCATTGAATTGGACAAAAAAGAAATAGGAACTTAGCTTAATGAAATGAAACATATGAGGGAGGTTCCCCCCCCAAATGGAATTATCTTTTGGAGGGCAGGCTCCTTATAGGACAGGCGCCTTATAGGAACTCATTGATATCAATGTACCAGCTAGCATTGTTTCAGTGAATTTTCTTGGAGACTCTTTCACTGTGTTTGCCCAATTCAGGACGGGTGATTTACATGAACAATGTGTAAACTGCACTGAGTGTTCAGCAGTTTTTGACCAAAAATGGCATGACCACTATACCCTACCCTCCCTATTAACTCAATCTTGCCCTGGGTGACTTTCTTCTGCTTCCCTGGATGAAAAAGTTCTCAAAGGGAAATGTTTTGCCAGTGTGGAAGAAGTGAAACAAAAAATGGCACAAGCACTAAAAGCCAATGTTGATGAGTTCAAAAACTGTTTTGAGCAGTGGAAAAAGCATTTCGATAAATGTGTTGCTTCCAATGAAGAGTATTTTGAAGGTGACTGAAGTTTAAATATGTAAGAATAAATATACAATTTTTTACAAATGAATTCCATTTTTTGGGTATCCCCTCATATATAAAAAACTATCTTTCTGAATTTATGTAGCTATATTTTTTTCCAAAATATTAAAAAATCCCCTATGGTAAAGAGCAAACTATATTTGCAATATATATGTGGTAAGTTAAAATCAAAGTTACCATTACAATGGTGTTTTATTTATATACATACTGTATTTTACTGTATTTTATTTATGAAGAAAATAATAAGCAGACCATATTCATTGAGTTAATACATATATTATCAACAGAAAATATAACATTTCTTAATAGATGAATGTCACATATAACTGTACTACCAAAGACCAGCTATTTTTTCAAGATCTAAATTAAAAGTCCCCCTCTTCATCCCCTACCAATTTTCCATTGCTAGTTCTTTATTATGATAGTCATCTATTCTTATCATGTTTGCTGGAAATAATCTTCTAAATCTGCATTTTACCTTTTAAAAAAGTTACAAAATTCTAATCTACAAACTCTGTTCATCTTTTTACTTTCTCCTGAGTTTTAAAATACATTTTTCTTATAATTATCCGAGGTCTTATGTTCAACTCTGAAATTCATTTTGATATATGGTATATTGTAAACCCTAGTTTAATTTCACCCCCAAGCTTTCTATTTTTAAAGACTAATTTTCCACACAATCTCTCTTCTGTCATGTTAAATTTTTATATGCAATAGGAAGGCTGTTTTTCTTACCAATCTGTCTATTATGCCAGTATTACATGTTTAGTTACTGTTTTTATAATATGCTTAATATTACATTTTAATTTTAGAAGCAAATAATTCTGCTTTATTACTCATATTTATTAGAGCTTTCTCTGATAGCAAGATATACTTTTAAGAAAAAAATGCCATTTGGATTTGTTTTTTGATTGAATTTGTATAAAATTCTATTTTTGCTTGCTTTCAAGAAAAGTCTTACTAGGATTTAGATTGTTACTGTATAAAAAATATGAAGTAGTAAAGATTGTTATTTTTATAATATTTATAGCTCTCTCAAAAACTTTGTGTTCCTTTAATTATTCAGAGCTTCTTTTATGTATCTTAATAAGTTTATTCACATATATCATTGACATAATTCCTTTGTACTTAATATTTATTATTGCAATAGTGAATAGAATATTATACTCTAATTGGTTTCCAGCATTGTAAGGGCATGGGATCAATCTTGTATTAGATCCTTTTATGGAACTCTTAGACTCTAGCTACTTGTCAACTCAGTACTTTGGAGCATTCTAACAAGCTTGTACATAACACTGTAACTCCTGTTTTCCAACATTTATCTGTTTCTTGCCTTTGTTTACTGACTATCACTTCTATAATAATATTAAACATAGTGGTGTAAAGCATCTTATTTTATGCCTGTTTTTAACAGGAATAATTTTATGTTTTAACTGTATGAAAAATACTGCCTATTTATCTAAAATAAAAAGGTTTTTGAAAAACAATTACCTGGTTAATGGTTTTAAATGCTCTTTGAATCAGCAACCAGTATTGAATTCTACCAAGTATCTTTTAGATATGTGAGAACATTTTTTTTTTCCAATGCAGCCTATTGACATTATGTATTATGTATGAATTGAATTATCCTCATATACTTCAGAAAGCTCTCTTTGGCTGTGGCAAAATTCTACTAACTAGAATTAAGAATCTCAGGAGGGGGTGATCTGTACTCGTAAGTGGAAGAGTAAGGCTGGTGGTTTTATTCACTGTGCTATTCCCATCAGCTTTTGAGAAGCTAGGGCCATGTTTCCACCACAGAATGAACCAACAATGTTTCCTATTTCTGGTTCATGAAAACTATCTGAACATATTTTTGAAAGTATCAGCAATAAATACATTTCAGTCAGAAACTTTTTGGTTGGTTGGGGTAGGATAATGCTTTGATAACTCTCAATTTCTTATTCAGGTATTGAGACACTTCCTACTTGTACACTTTTATCATTTGCTGCTCCAAATATGCTAAAGCAGAAAGGTAGAATTCTGCCTAGAAAAGCAGAAGGAAATGGTTTTCTGAGTGCCTAGAGAGCTCTCCAAGAGCTTTAGCGAAAGAAATTTGCAATTTCTCTTCTGACTATTCAGACAGCATTTCTGCTTACCTTTTAGTTCTTGGCTGTATTCTAAATAGGTTAAGTTTGCCACAAAAACAACTTCATGTAATTCTGCAACTCAAATTATGTTTTAGAGTTACATTAGACTCCCTAGCAATTTCTATCAATGACTAAAACATAAAACGTCCAGACAAATAACTTACTTTATTGACTTCAGCAATTTCCCGCCTCTCTTCACAAGCAAAACGTGGTGGGCCAGCTCGGTCGCCATTCTTGGAGCCATCTTCTTCCACATATGGGATAAGTTGCTGGGAGTGATGGACACAAGTTAAAGGTCAAAAACAGGATGAAAATTTTCTAATTACACTGGTTATAGAGAACGCATCAGACAGAGTTCATTTTTATATACTTTTTTTTCATTAGTATAAACGTAAATTTCAATTCTGGTGATGTCGAAAAAAAGACAATTGGCTATTAGCTATTCAATGGTCTCTACACATTGCCATTCCAGGTTTGTTTTGCAAAAGAGCCTCCATAACATTGACTGTCACATATAATTAATACTTTACTCATTCAATTAGCAAATATTTAACAGCCAGACACTGAGTGAGACACTGCAAAAATAATGCCAAATAAGATTCCTGCACTGAAGAGATTGATAGTCCACTGAGATGGACAAAACAGGCTTTCCTTCATGTGTACGAGAAAGAAAAGAACTTCATGGATGTACACTATATAAATGTTATTAACTTGCAATATCTTCAGCGTCTATGCAAATTTCTACATGTCTTAACTTCAGTTGTAAGAATGTTTTTTTGTAGGGGAAACAAATTTAGAGACCAATGAAGCTTCCAGCAGAATTATAATTCACTCTGTATGGCTAGTGATGAAATGTATTTGATGGAGCCCCTGGTAAACGTGACCTACTTCAGGAATCATCTAGTCTCTACTACCTTATGCTACCAAGGCAGGAACAGGCCAATAGGAAATAATAGGTAAAAATAAAAGCCATTAAGCTGAACTTCTTTGGTTCCTGGGGCAAAAATAAACTTATTCACATCTACATTCTCCTTTCTTCCTTTCCCCCTCCCAACAGAGCTGGCCTTCCTCCCGAAGACGATTAGCCCACTCCCATCTTCCTTATATAGCCCTCCTTTCCCCACCTTTCCCTATAGCTTTCTTCCTTTTTCATCTAAATATGTTCCAGTCTCTTCCATTTGGAGGGAAATCCCCAGACCCTCGAGTCCATCCCTCCTTCCATCTACTGCTTTCCTCTCTTTTTATCTGAGTCTCCTGAAAGACTGACACCCATCTGCAGGGTACATCTCCTTCTGTCCTATTCCATCTTCACCCACCGCTACCGTTTCACTGAAGCTCTGCTCACATACGGCAACAATTGTTAACCAGCAAAGTCTCCTGGAAAGTTTACAGTCCTTCTTTCATCTGACAATGCTGACCACTGTGATTCTTCCTCCCACATCTTTGGCCCCTTTTTTTCAGGCTCTTTGGCAGTTTATACTTCTCTGTTCATCTCTCACACACTGATCACTCAAAAGGGAAGCAGTAATCACTCAAAAGGGAAACACTAATCACATGAAATAGTCCTTCACATGTAGTGAGAGGACAATCCAGCAAACCCAGCTATCTTGGGTGGCAGATATATCACTTGTCAACAGGAAACGGCCACCTATAGAAACATCCTATAGCTAATTAGCCAAATACATACAACCCGAGATTAAATTTAGAGAATGTATTTTAAAAATATAGTGATTCCACTGGGCTAAGTATCAAATCTAAATTAATAATGAAAAATCATCTTTTAGCTATAAAGCACTTTCATAAAACCACCTTAAAAGTATTTTATGATACTATTAAAACTCCTACTGAAAATCATGCTACTGATTTAATTAAAAGACGACATTGACAACAATGATAAAAATTGCCACAGACAACCATTTGCTCCCAAAACAACAAATCCCTCTAAGCCTGGATGTCCAAGTCTTCAAGCAATTATTAAGGTGGAATAAGAGTAGAAATTCTATGCATGTTTATTATATTTTCATCTTCTCTGGTCAAAAGTAAAAGCTACAAACTTCAAAATCTGAAAATATTGCTAAAATAGGAGAAAGAGAGAAAAAAATCACAAACATCTTGACCTCCTACATCTTATGTTCCTTCTCCCTCTACCACAAAACCCACCTCTACCAGGAAGGGGTCCATGTCTCCACAGTTCTCAATGCATTGTCATAGACCCACCTCTACTGGGAAGGGATCAATGTCTCCACAGTTCTCAGTGAACTTGTCATAGACCCATCTCTACTGGGAAGGGGTCCATGTCTCCATAGTCCTCAATGCATTTGTCATAGACCCACCTCTACTGGGATGGGGTCCATGCCTCCACAGTTCTCATTGCATTTGTCGTAGACCAGCCGCAACTTCCTGAAGAGAATGGACAGCTGGCGAAGGTGATCCTGCAGCTTTGTGAGCCGGTCTTGGTAGGTCCCCGTGTGGTAGGTGACACCATTTGGCAACTTATTGGGTAAAACAGAACAACAAACATATACAATGATGAAAATCATGATTTTCTGTAAGTTAGGCTAACATGCCACCATTTTAAAAGGCTGCATAAAAGCAAACTGTTTCTCACCACTAATCAGGTGCAGTTTTAAGAATTTAAGAGTAATGCGTACTCATTTTTGGCAACTGAGCATACTGCTTTCGTGCTGTAGAACACCCTAAAAAACTTTAAGCCCCCTGACCAGTTGAAACATCTTTTCCCTTTAATTTTTGAAGTATACTTTACAAAAGAATTCACACTTTTAATATTACTATTATATAAGTGTAACTGCTAAACTTACTCAAGAAATTAAAAGCAAAATACAGTTTAAAAAAGTGAAGCTGAGAATATTTTAGTACAAGAAAATGAAAAATATGCAACTACTTTACACAAATAGTCTCAAAATACCTTAACTATGATAAGATAATTAAGAAGCTTAAGGCATACATTAAATTAAAAGTTGTCACTCAAAGTTTTACTTACAAAAAAATGTAATGACAGGAGATATGGGTGCAATGTGTACTTGAATATCAAAATAAATTATTACAAGTTGCTTCTATGATCATAACTTCATCTTGGATGTTTATATACTTTTAATTCAGGAATTTTATCAAAAGAAGCCAGAAGTACATATCGAAATGATGACAATACTACAGGCCAACAACATTGACTATTACTTTATTTAGAACTTAAAACTAAATACGTACCTCCTGTGCGCTGCTGAAACTCATGAAAAAAACTTTCTCTGTACACATTTGCAATATTTTATTCTTATAATTTAATTTGTGGAATCATCCTATATTTGACTCAAGAATATGTATACAGTATCATGTGTTCTAGTATTCAGGTGTTTTCATTTATAGGAGTTCACTTATCTTGGGGATTAGAATTGTGATTTTAAATCAAGGCACCATCTACTATCTAATAGCTAGCAGATCAGTCCAGTCTTTCTAGACTTCAGTTTACCCTTTCTTTCTTACATTTTTCTAAACAGACAAGTTAGAAATGTAAGGGGGGAAAAAAAAGCATGACACAGTGCTTAGAAAGAAAAGATGCAATCATTAAAACCATAAGCAGGAAAAAGACTGGAAAGGCCTATGCATAGTGGATGAAAGATGCAGACGGTAAATAGACTTGAATAATTTATTTCCTTATTTCTCTCATTTCCAAATTTCCTGTAATGTAATGGCTTATGAGTTACGGAGACAGGTCTACTGAAATTTTTTGAAGTGAGATATTATTAGGATTTTCACAAGTTTTCAAGTATTAAAACACTCTACAATGACTCCAAGAAATGTGATAAAATACCAAAGGCTGAATTAGTCAAAACATTTAAAAGGGGGAAGGCATTAAGAGTTAACTCCCCAATGCAATGTAAGATTTGTCCTCAAGAACTCTCAATTTATGAACCTGCACAAACACTAACAATGCAGAGAAAAGTTTAAACGGGCCCTGCTTTCTCATTAGGTGCTAACAAGGAGCACGATGGTGATGTCTTCCCCATAGAAACACTCTGCTTTTACACTTTGCCACATTTTCTGCTTAGTGACGACAGGAACTTAGACTCATGTCACCATACTTAGTATATCACAACACAGTAGGTCTTAAGGTATAGACGGAATTATTTTATCTCAGTTGGCTATTTTACCCATAAATCTGTACTCAAAATTCATTAAGAAGTATGCATCAGCCGGGCTCGGTGGCTCAGCCTGTAATCCCGCGTCTTTGGGAGGCTGAGGTGAGTGGATTGCCTGAGCCCGTGGGTTCGAGACCCGCCTGGGCAGTGGGACCTCATCTCTACAATAAATCAAAAAATCAGCCGGGCATGGTAGCGCGTGCCTGTAGTTCCGGCTACTTGGAAAGCTGAGGTGGAAGGATCGCCGGAGCCCCGCAGGTCGAGGCTGTGATGGCCGGGAGCGGTCACTGCACTCCAGTCTGGGCAACAGAGTGAGACTCCAACTCAAAAAAAAAAAAAAAAAGAAAAAAGAAGTACGCATCATGTAAAAGAACTCTTGATAAGCACCATCATAAATGAAAACAAAATGCTTTTGAAATGCAAAGAATCACGCTGCTCAAATGTGCTAAATTAGTAAGTTTAGAATTTTGTTTTTATATAGCACAACACTAGTTTCTAAAAGAAGGGAATGGTGAATGCATTGAAAAAAATTACGACACACCTTTCATGTGTCCTTATTGTTCTAGAAGGTGGGGTAGAGCAGTGAAAATGAGGATGAGGTCCCCATCCCACAAAGTGTTCATGCTAACAGGGCCTGAGAGCCCTTAGTGTGCACTTGAGCTGTTCAGCTGGAAAGCTCATTCACAACCACCTCACTCATGAATATGGGTGAGACACCATAAATATATCATCACACTAGACACTAAAAAGGCATTCAATAAACTCAACATCCATTTAAAAAGTAAATTTTAAACACGATAAAAAATCCCCAATGCGATCAAATACATGAGTCTCAGTTAAAAAGTGAGCACCATGATTAATGTGGAAACATTAGAAGCATTGCCACAGGGTTCAGAAATAGAAAAGGATGTCTACTAAGAACACTAATTCTACATGTGAACTCTGTTTCACAGGCACTGGCCAATGCGATTAGAGAAGAAAAAGGTGGGGGTGGGGAGGAAACATTAAAAAGAAAGTAGCATCAGCATAAAAATAATATGATAAAGTGTTACTAAAAGTAAAATAACTCAAAGAGCTAGAAACAAAAATAATCAAGAGAAAGCAACAGCTTTGCTTTTATCTGTAAAAACAAACGAAAACATGGGAAGAGAAGAAGACCTCATTTAAAATAGCAACAAAAAAGTAAAATATCTAGGAATAAACTTTTAAAATCTCAAGACACAAATGAAAACTTAAAATATGAGGAAACAAAAAAAGGATGTTCTATGCTCTTGGTTAGTAAAACTCAGTATCATAATGATGTTGAGTCTTTCTAGATTGAACAAGTATAATAAAAATGCTAACAGGTTTTTTTCTTAGACTTAAACAAGCTGATTCTAAAGTACATATGGAAAAATAAGCAAGAATAACTAAAGCAATTCTGAAAAATAAGTATAAATATATTATAAAGCCTCAAAAAGTATTAAGTTTTGTATTAATACATAAAAGACAGGTAGCTACGTGGAATAGAACATCCAGAATGATTTGTATAAAGGCTACCTGAAGTCAATGGAGGAGGAAAATTCAACTAACTTTGAAAAAAGTAAGGTTAGGGACATATTTCACACATTTTAATAGGATAAATTCTATAAGAACCAAAGTTTTAAATGTAAAAACTGGAAACAACAACAGTGAATTCTTGATTTTGAAGTGGGGAAGGCCTTCCTAACGAGGCATAAAACATAGAAGCCTAAAAGACTGATAAATTCAACTATTTTCAAAATAATGCATAGCAAAAACTACCATTAACAGAGCCAAAGGTAAAAAAACAGACAAGGCTGGGGGGGGTGAGGGGGGAAAAATAGCTGCCAAGATGTGTCACACAGAGCAGGTTTCTCTAATATGTAAAGAACTAAATCCTAGAAATTGGGGAGGGGGTTAAAAAAAGGTCAAAAAAAAAAAGGTAGAAAACTGGGCAAATAATATAAGCAAGCATTTAGCAAATATAAATGATTCATAAATATTTTAAGGAATACTCAAGCTCAATCAAAGTAGGAGAAATGGAACGTGGAATTTTCACCTATCAAGCAACCAAAGATTCAAAAATATATAACTCACTGTGTTGGTCTTAGGACATGGTCGCATAAACTAGTACAGTCTATGTGAAGGGCAATATATCTAATTAAAAAGCACATGACTATTTCTAAAACTTTTTCCCACAAGTATACTTGCATATCTGTGTAGGAGTTATTTGCTGCAGCCCAAATGAGATATTAAAAGCAGACTAAATGTCTTCACTAGAGAACTGGTTTAATAGATTACAGTATTTCCATTCAGTGAAAACTATACATATAAAAAGAAAAAAGTGAGTATTTTCTGTATGGAAATGAAAAAAAAAACAAAATAGAATGGGAAAAAAGCAAGGTACAAAATGGTATGGATACCATTATCTGTGTAAAAAGGGAGAAGTTAAATAATCTACAAAAATATCTTCAATATGTATGGAATATCTGGAAGGATATACACAAATAGTGGGAGAGGGATTAAGTACCTAGCAGATAGGGGCCCGAGAAAAAATATTCACTAAAATTATTCCTGAATTCCGAATGCATTAAGTACTCAACAAATAAAACAAAAGATTCAAAAGATAATAAATAGAACCAAAGCAATGCTATCTTTCACAGGGAATCTTAATCTGGAATTTAGGGATACTTGGGGAGACATGATTTAACTCCATTTTTTCAGAACATATGTGTACCTGCATTTTTCTCAGAGGAGAATCCAGTCTTTATCAGACTCTCAAGCTGCTAAAGGACACTGGCCACGTAGAGAGTCACTTCTCTAAATCAAATCCTTAAAAATCATCTTGGCAGCTGGTACTTATGATGCTTTACCCTTACAGATTAATAACACATTGAATAATTTCTAAAATTTGAATACTTGAAAAAAATGTATTAATAACTAGGTTATATGTAGTTAAGAGTATCATGTTTGTATCACCTCTTCTTTCAACATTTCGGAAATACATTATTATTGTCATTTCTGTCGATTATAATATGACTCCAAAGGTTTTAGATTAATCAGACCACAACATTCACAAAATAAAAGGCACACAAGTACCTACTATAGCTCCTTACAAATTGGCTTTGACTATATGTCCACCTGTAATCTAGTTATTGATGATACTTTTTGAAGTTTAGTCCTTTCTGTATAGAATAGAGATCTGTATGAGGGGGAACACTCAAAAAACTGAAATTTATTTGTAAAATTGTGTATTTATTCTTACATGTTTAAACATCAGTCACCCTCAGAGTACTCTCTGTTTGATGTAATATACCTATCAAGATGCTTTTTCCACTGCTCAAAAGTTTCTGAACTTGTCAATTTTGATACCCTTTAGTGTTTCTGTCGTTTTTTGTTTCACCTCTTCCACATGGGCAAAATATTTCCCTCGGAGAAATTTTTCAACCAGGAAACACACACACAAAAAAGCCAGTTACTCAGGGTGAAATCTGGTGAACAGGGAGGATAGGACACGGTGGTCATGCTGCTTTTTGGTCAAAAACTGAACACTCAGTGTGGTTTATACATTATTTGTGTAAATCATCCATCATGAAATGGGCTAATGCACTGAAAGAATCTCCAAAAAAAAAAAAAATTCACTGAGGCCAAACGGAGCCTCTTATAACAATGCTTGCTGGTACACTGATGCCGATGGCTTTCTAGAACACTTAGGGGAGAAAGTCTGTTCTACAAGGGGACCACCCACTACAATATAATTCTGGTTTTGAGGGGGATTCCCTTCATATTATATCCCTTTTAATAATATGCATTGACACCAAATTGCTTAAAAAGGTCATTAGGAAGAACTACTAGTCATATGTGATGTTGAATAATCTACTTCTCTTTTTAAGCCTTAATTGTTTCCTTAACTGTAAAATAGGAATACAAGTACTTATAAAGGCCAGGCATGGTGGCCCAAGCCTGTAATCCCAGCACTTTGGGAGGCTAAGGTGGAAGGACTGCCTGAGTCCATGGGTTCAAGCCTGGTCAACTTGGCGAGACCTCATCTCTTCAAAAAATTAGCCAGGTGTGGTAGTGCGCACCTGTAGTTCCTGCTACTTTGAAGGCTGAGGTGGAAGGATCACCTGAGCCTGGCAGATCGACACTGGAGTGGCCGCGAGCATGCCACTGCACTCCAACCTGGGTGACGGAGTGAGACTCCAACTAAAAAAACAACAACAACAAAAAACAAAACAAAAGAGTACTTACTAAAAATGCTTCTAGGTCAGGCTCGGTGGCTCAGCCTGTAATCCTGCGCCTTTGGGAGGCTGAGGTGAGTGGATTGCCTGAGCCCACGGGTTCGAGACCCGCCTGGGAAACTTGGTGAGACCTCATCTCTACAATAAATCAAAAAATTAGCTGGGCATGGTAGTGCACACCTGTAGTTCCAGCTACTTGGAATGCTGAGCGGAA